TTTGTTTATTATAATTATGAGATTTGATCGTTCTGTCTAAAGCAATATTTCTGTTACGAATCCAATCTTTCTCAGAAGTTAATATTTTTAGTTCATTTGGCAACATTGCAACATTTTTGCCATACATTAAGTATGATGGTGCGAAACCAGTGACAGTATGTTCTGTTTCATTGTATTTGCGCACACATTCTTGTGCTATTGTTGTCCAAGAAGTTTTTTGTTCTTTTTCGTTAATTTTGCATCTGATTTTATTAATTAGGGTCTGATTTAATCTTTCATTCAAGCCGTTAGAAAATGGTGAATTTGTGGCAGTGAAGATTATTGGTATAAATTTTTCATCTAAAAAATTTTTAAAATTTTTTGAATTTATTCCTGGGTATTGGTCTGTTAGAATCATACCAATCTGATTTGTCTCTGATATGCTTTTCACAAGTTTAATAAAATCATTAGCAGTTTGAGTTTTCGATGTTAGGATATATGCATATCTTGTAAAGTGATCGACTAGAAGATGTAAATATTTTTTTGTAGATCGTGAACCTCCAAAACCTCCGATTGTGTCTATGGAAATAATTTCAAAAGGTTTTGTGGCTGGACCTAAATGTGACATTAATCCAAATTTTGCTAGTCCTCTTGATTTGTTTCTAATACATACTGCACAGCTTTGACATATTTCCTTTATATTTTTGGTTAAATTTTTAGCTGTATAGTATGGTCCTATCATCATATGCATTTGTTTTATTCCTATATGACACAAGTTTCTATGCACATCTTTTAAAAATTGTATAGTATAATCTTCGGTTAGAATGATTTTTTCTTTTCCTCTTACTTTTTTGTAATAAACATTATTTTTAGTTACTAGTTTATTATTATGTTTTATATCTTTATTTTTTTCTTGGTCTTTCAATATATCTTCAAGAGTTATCAAATTTGTAACTTTCAACTGCTCCTCCATATTTTCATCGGGTTCTAAGACAGGATTTCTGCTAAGGCAGTCAGCTTCTAAGTTATATTTTCCAGGGCAATATTTCACCACAAAATCATATTGCGATAAATAATATGTTAAATCACCTAGTTCTTCATCTGTTCTAGACTTTATATTCATATTCTCCAATGGCTTGTGGTCAGAAAAAACAATAAATTTCTTACCTATTAAGTAATGTTGCCAATATTTAACACATTCTTTAATTGCCAGGCACTCCAGGTATATAGCTTTTTTTCTCTTCTGTACTTCATTTAGTTTCTTAGAGAAATAGGCCACTGGTTTTTCTTCATTATTTTCCTGTGGTTGTTTTAGCACCCCTGCTATTCCTAGTAAACTAGCATCAGTATATATGTGTATCGGTAGAGTTGGATCAAAAATAGTTAGTACAGGTTGAGTTAACAATACATTTTTTAAATCTTCAAATGTTTTTTGGCATTCCTTAGTCCAATTAAATGGTTGACCTTTTCTCAGAAGATTATGCAAAGGTTCCAATTTTATTGCTATTTTTGGGACATATTTATGATAAAAATTTATCTTCCCTAGAAACTGTCTAACATTTTTCTGTGTTTTAGGTATTGGAAAGTTTTTTATTGAAATCAAGTTGTCTTTCAGTGGCTTTACACAATTATTTGTAATTACATGACCCAAGTATTTTACTGATTCAGCTGCAAACATGCATTTTACAAATTTTAATCTGAATCCTTCACTTTTGATTGCTTTAAATAGTTGTGCTAGATGTCTGATATGTTCCTGGAATGATTTTGAAAAAATGAGTATGTCATCTATGTAGCTCACTGTAAAATCTGCAAGTTTGTGTTTTCTTATTATGTTACACATTATTCTTTGGAATATTGCTGGAGATGTTTTTAACCCAAATGGTAAACAAGTCCACTGAAAGTGTCCTTCTTGTGTAACAAATCCAGTTTTGTGCCTATCTGTAATGCGCATAGGAATTGACCAAAAAGCAGAGTTTATGTCCAATGTTGAGAAAAATTTACAATTTCTTGTCTTTACCATTAAATCCTCTATAAGTGGAAAGGGTTGTGATTGGGGTACTACAATTTTATTCAAGTCTCTAAAATCAATGCACAATCTTGACTTTGTATTTTCATCTCTTTTATAAGCTAATGTAACTGGGGCTGCAAAAGGACTATACGATTCTTCTATTAGATTCTTGTCTAGTAACAACGCAATTTGTTTCTCAATCTCCTTTTTATCATCAACTGTGGTTCGATATGGCCTTTTGCTGCAATATTTCTCTTCCAATAAATCAATGTGTGCTTCATAATCCTTCACTGTCCCTACATCATATTTGTCTTTTGCAAAGACAGATTTGTTTTCACATATTAATTCATTTATTATTGATTGTTGATCACAATCTAAATGGTCTATATGAATTTTAAAATTTGTCTCTTCAAAGTGTTCATTGAAATTTATTAAATATTTATTTCTCATTTTATTTAAATTATTAATTTCATTTGTTTCCTTAGAATCAAAATTTATTTGTTGATTAATATCTCTTAATTTCACTAATGTAATGTCACAATTTTTTGAAACTGTTTTAATTTCTGTAGTAACATCATTTTGAATAGGCACTTTTTGACTTATTTGTAAATTTTCATTTTGACACAAATAGAATTTTTTTATACAATCTAAACCAATTAAAAAATCGTAATCAAAATTATCTTTTTCAATCACAAAGACTTCTGTCTCTTTTTCTATATCAAAAATTTTTACATGTAATTTTACCGTACCACTGGTTTTTTTAATGCCATTAATAGTTTTTAAATTAGTATTGTTAGAATCAATTGAATTATTGTTATTTATTTTTAATAACTTTGAATTTATTAATGAAACATTTGAACCTGAGTCATATACTCCAAAAATCTCAATATTTTTATTCAACACTAATTTTATTTTTATTAATGGCAGTATTAACAGTTTTTTGGATTAGCATTTTGTAGTTCACATTCTAATTCTGAATTATTGATAAGTTTAATTTGATCATCTTTATTAGTTTGATTATCCTTTGGTTTAAACCAACAAGTTGATTCAAGGTGGTAGCGTGTTCCTTTTTTAAGTTTTTCACAGATGGTACATTTTTGCTTTTGCTCTCTGTCCAATCTTTGTTTGTTTCTAATTTGTTTTTCTTCAACATTTCTTTTATTATGTAAGAAAACTTTTTCACATTCTTTATTTGCTAAGTGTTCATTCTTGTTCAATTCACTGAAAAGGTGAGTAGTTGAAGTCAGTGAATCTTTATCAAGTCTGTTCATTATGTTTTCTGGTAAACCTAACACAATCAGGTTTATAAGTGTGTTATTATCAATTAACTTATTAACTTCTAATAATAATCTTTCTTTTTTTGTGGCATATTGTAATAGAGAACCAACTTGATATTTGAATGTAAAAGCATATTTTATTTGGGACCAACCTTTTTTCTCATAAGTATCACAAAAGTTTGTTTTCCAAGTTTTCCAATCTGATTTCACTGTATATTTAATTAACATACTACCATACCAATCTAAACATTGTTTTTCAAGTAGATGTCTCAAACTTTCTATTTTATCTTCATCATTTAAAATTTCAAACCTTTCACATTCTTTTTCAAATTCTTCCATCCATTGTCTAACATTTGGCATTTTAATGGAGAATTTTTCAATTAAAAACTTTTCTGTTAGCTTCCCCACATTTTGAATATTTGGTAAATCTTCATAGCTAACAGCCGCTGATTGTAGTTTTTCTTCTAAATACTGATCACCAAATTGTAAATTTTCACCTTCATCCAAATAAATCTTCCTTATTTCATCATCTAGTGGGATCCATATATTTCGTTTTTGACCTCTTTTTTTCAATGAGTTTTTTACTTTTGTAAATGAACTGGATCTAGATATGTATGTATGTTTATTTACCTGCTTAAATTCGTCTGGGATATCAAAAATACGACCATCTGGAGTCTCAATTGAGGCAATACAGATTTCATTTGATTTACCGTCTGATGATCCTAGTATTATGAATTGGAATCTCAATTTTTCCATGACCAAAAATGTCGTTTTATAAGGTTCCTTTTGGTAATTAGTAACACAACTGAGTTTCTGAAATTAAAGATTTATTAAAACATGTTCTATTTACATTATTTACACAAAATTTTACCTGAAATTAAAGAAACGACATTTAATGTCACTAACTATGAATGTTTTAACATTCCTATCCTAAGCACAAATAATCTCTGACAAAATGACAAGTTTTTTAAATATAAAGATGACAGAAGTGGTTGTGTCTAATATTCCAGATAACGTGCTCGGTAGAGCGCGGCAATATTTGAATGATGAAATTATAATTTCATTACATATATATATATATATATAATATATATATATATATATATATATATATATATATAATATATATATATATATATTATATATATATATATATATATATATATATATTGTGTGTGCTTTTTATGTATAATGAATCTTACACTCCACCACTTGAAATGTCTTCTTCAGCTGTAAAATGAATTTTATGACAAAACCACTACTTAATCAAACACGAAAATCGTTGTTGCTAATTATTTTATTTTGCACATAAAACTTTGGTACTTACACTTACCAACGATATAAATAAACTATAAATACAACAGTAAAAAAATCACATATTAAATATAATTAATTAAACAATTATTATTGTTATCTAACTATGTGTAAATATTCTTTAAAAAATTTTATAAAGGTTTTAGCAATATTTTCCATAAGACTGGCAGCACTCATTACGTAGGCACACACAAACGGTTATTTTATCCATCGATTTGCTCTGCGGAATTATATAAGATCATAAAAACAAACAGTCACAACACTTTCACTGATCTTGTACGCTGGGTGAAGAGTACCACTGGTATATTAGTATAGAGAACAATTAATTTTTGTTTATTTATTTGATCAGTACTAGAGGGAACAGGAAATGATCCATTACGTGTGTGTCCACCAATTGTTGAACTAGCTCATATCAAGTTACATTAATAATAGCCAAAGCCGTATTTATCACCAATAGGACCATTTTCGTATCCGTAGAATGGTTTCTTATAGATAGCTTTTTCATACACAGGTTCTAGTACTACTTTTTCAACTACTGGCTCTACATATACTTTTTCGACAACCGGTTGGGGATGGATTGAATGGCCATCTTTTTCTACAATTGCGTTAAAACCATTGTGGTCATCAGCGGTGTAATGAACAGTACGAAGAGTACCATCGGGATCAGCAACAGTATAGTACCCTTTTACTACATCGCCGTCTCGTTCTTCGTGTTGGGATTTGTGGTCGCCGGTGTGGGGGTCATTGACTCCGTATGCAAATTTATATTTTGGGTAATCCTTAAAAAACAGAAAAACATTAGTTTTAATGTAACGTTAGATTGAAGAATTGAACGTATTGTAGAATGAAAATAAATAAAAAAGTATATGAACTCTAAATTAATTGAAAACAAAGAGAAAAATAAAAAAATTAACTGTTGTACTACTCATAAAGCACAAATTCTATTTCTACTTTTACTTACATGGTAATCGTAATCTTTTCCATAACCATAGCCGTAACCATGTCCATCGTACTCGCCTCCGTAATAGGGTGTTTCATAAATTGGCGCTCCTACTAGTTTGCCATAAGAACTAGCTTCGTGATATGGAGAAATGTCGACGTATCCTGCGGAGCACATAGCACATGCTACAGCCATTACTGCAAACTACAACAAAAACGCATAATTATGACCAACTGTCATAGCATGTAAAAATTAGCAATCTGCAGTCCTAAATTCCAGAAATAGAAAAGTATGAATGCCAATTGGATAATGTTTAAGGACAAATGAAAAATATATACCTTTAAAATTAAGAAGAAGAATAAGACAGGATTTTTGTTTAATGCCTTTTACAGTTGTGTTAAAGAAATGTATGACCAAGTGTTTGAAAATTAACTAAAACATTAGTTAATCAAACAAATCTTGTCTATTGTGGCGAGACAATAGGAAATCGTAGAAACACAGAAGTTTTACCAAAAAATGAATTTAGATAAGACTATTTCTATTTATTTAGTTTGTTTAATATATGGTGTAGTTTTCTAAATTAATAATGAGTTACTATAGGAAACAATAAATGAGCACTACTGAGCTACTCTTAATCTCGGTTGACTAGATTCACTAGCTAATTCGAATTTATATGCATCTATGGCACACCCGGGGTAGTTTTCGTGGGTAAATCCTACACCCCCCCCCAGGGTATATAAAGTAAAAAATATATAAATAATAGTAGGAAAATGTTACTTGCCTTTCACAAACCATACAAAAAATCCAAAACACTAATTGAATAATTAATTTACCACTTTAAATGTGTAGGACACAATAATTATTGTATAAATAAACAATAATTAATGCACAATAATAATTATTATTTTTAATTCAGTTCTGTCAACTTTTTGGTTTAAAAATAATGAACACCCAATTACCACATAAAGGTATTCATAAATACACTTGGGAACGACCTTCACTCCAACAGAAGTCGATCATAGACTATATAATAATGAGACAGAACTCAAAATTTAAGTGCCAAGACTGCAGAGTAAAAAGAGGGTCTAACTGTGGGACAGACCATTACTTTCTTTTAGCTAATATTTTGTGCATCTTTAAACAAAACAGTAAACATAACACCGAAAGTCAGAGAAACAATACTACGCAGTACAAAACGGAGAGACATAAATTGCATCTTTTATTCCAACCAAGTATTAAACATCTTTTTCAATGTAGATTAGAAAGGGAACTAAATGAGATGGAAAGAAATATGGATGTAGAACAACAATACAATAACCTCAAAATGATAATAAAAAAAATTGCTTATGAAGTATTAGGAACAGAGAACAACGACAAAAAACACCACGAACCACCATGGATGACAGAAAACGTAAAAGAAATGATACAAGAAAAGAACAAATTATATAAAAAATGGCTAACAAATAAAACATCTAGCAATAGAGTATCATATCAAATAAAAAACGGAGAAGTACGCCAGCAAATAAAAGAAGCAAAAAACAATTTCTGGGAACAAAAATGTGTCCAAGTTGAAAATTTAATGGGTGGTTCTCAGACAACGGAAGCATGGAGAACTATCACTAACCTAAAGAAGAACACCCATAACTCATTAAGCAACTTAATTTCTATAGAAAAATGGGAAAATCACTATAAAAATTTACTCCAAGAGTCCAGATTGGAATATATGGGAGAAGTACAGTATGGAGAGACAAACAAATAGTAACATTAATACTACCAGCAACGAGGTCCGTACTGCGCTAATTAAAATGAAAAACGGGCGATCTTCAGGACCTGGCAATATAGCTGTAGAGCTACTTAAAGCAGGAGGTCCACTCCTAATCGAACGAATAACTTTTCTAATGAATCAATGCTGCCAACAAATTAAAATACCATCGGAATGGAAAACCGCTCACCAAGTGTCCATCTTTAAAAAGGGTAATCGAAAAGATCCTAACTGCTACAGAGGATTGAGTGTCCTACCTACTTTCGGCAGATTGTTTGGAAAGATAATAAATAGAAAAATACAAGATGATGTAGGACATCTAATTAGCGAAGACCAAAGCGGATTTACGCCTGGTAGATCTTGCACTGATAACTTGTTTATACTCCAACAATTATTAGAAAAAAGAATAGCGGTTGGTAACGAAGTACATCTAGCCTTCATCGATCTAGAAAAAGCGTATGATACAGTACCAAGGCCTAAATTGTGGCAAGCTTTACAACAACTCGGCATTAGTCCACACCTTTTAGGAATAATCACAGAAGTATACAGGGATAACACCACTTACCTAAAAATCGGAAATAGACTATCAGAGCCGATAAAAGTAACTAAAGGACTGAGACAAGGATGCAGTATGTCACCTTTACTGTTTAATTTATATATTGAGGCAGCCCTTCAAAATTGGATAAACCACTGCCAAGGAATGGGAATCCCAATAGGAAATGACGTACTGTTCTCCCTGAACTTTGCGGATGACCAAGTCGTTCTATCTCAAGATTCTTATGATCTAGAATTTATGATAAAGCATCTATACAGAGAATATGTAAAATTGGGGTTACAAGTCAGCATAAAAACAGATTATTTACTTATCAATTCAGATTCAAGGTTTGAAGTGTTGATCGATGTGGACGTGGAGGAGACTAAGAACTACTTGGGAGAAATCGAAATTAAAACACTGAATTAATTAGAGACGTAAAATTGTAAGAAGGGAAAACTCCTTACGGTGGGATCGCAACATTTCCAAAAGGAACAAAATCAGAATATGGCAAACAATGGTTGAATCAGTTCTTTGTTATGGCTTTGAAGTATAGCCAGTTAATACAGATCTGTAGAGAAGATTCTTGGATGGATTATTTAAAAAGAAGTGCTAAAACATCAAGGGGTTCAAAATGGTTTGGACAATTACTGAGAATTCCTGACGAATGATGGCCCTAAAAACGTCCCACAAATGGAAGCCCCCTTAAAGAAAAAAAAAGAGGTAGATCTCGACTCTCATGGAATGAAGGAATTAAAAGAGCGATGAAATCGAGAGGTTTGGAAGGGGAGCATGCTTTGAACCAGGAGGATTGGCAGAGGAGAACGGGAATACGGCGATAGCCGTCTCCAAAATGTATTTAATTTACAAGTTGGATTAGTGTCAAATAATGTCAATGAACTAATTTTAAACTTCAATTGTTGCTTATTCCTAATTACTTTAAAATGCCACAAGAAAATAGCTTCAGAACAATAGAGAAAGTGGCCACCCCACTTTCGAAGAACGGTACGTGCAACAGTCAACTGCGCAAAAGTAAGAGAGGGTGGTTTTAGTTGGTAGTCACGATAATATATTCCTGAATATTTGACACTGCTATCTTTGGTACTTTAAATTAAACTACAACCCAAATTTTAGAGACTCAAAATGGAGCCACTGATTTTAAACCTCTTCTAAATTTTATATTACTGCGTTAAAAAAAAATTATGGCTAGAATGCTGCTGGAAAGATAAAACCACGCAATGAACTACTACAAATTGGGAAATAAACAATAAATGATGGATCGGATCAATTTTTTTCCCTATTATCCAAGCTACAAACTTACTATCAACAAAATATAACAAGTAGCAATTTAGCGTCTATCGATTTTCTCAAAAGTGTGTACACGGTACATCCTTTGTTTAAGTTATTTAAAACTCTTTCGATAGTTTAATCTCCCTGGAAGTATCCATAACCATGATCTAGATTCCGTCTCATGTAGAAATTCCTGGTAAAGAACTAGCTGACCTCTTTGTAAAACAATCCGCATCTTCTAACATGAAGATTGAAAACATACAACTACATACAGATTTACAGTCGTATTTTAAGAATGTCATCTAAATGTTTTGGATAAATCACTTAAATAAAATCTTTTCCAAGCCTCATGATATCCATCCCACCGTTAAAACGCTTGAGTTTCCTTTCATATCACGAAAAAACAAAATCTTAATTTGCCGACTTAGAATCGGCCATACAAGACTAACACATAAACTTTTGGCTCCCCAAGACCCACCTACATGTACATACTGTGGTAATATTCTATCTGATAAACTTATTCTCGTAGACTGTCCCTATTTCAGCAATAACAAAATAAAGAATTTTCTGAGTCGAAACCTAGAAAATATTCTCAGCTCACTAGATCAATTCCAAAACCTTATTTATTTCCTGTATGAAGCCAGGCTTTACCGGGAAATTTAGAAGAAGAAACGTAGTTTAGAATTTGATAATTAATAATTATAACAATATTTAATGTATTTCCTTATCGATTGTAGTGTTATTGTATTTTCTCGTATTGTAATGTAATAAAATTGTCCCTGTGTCAGTGACCTACGCTGTCGAGACACGTAAAGCTAAATAAAAAAAAATCTTCGTTATTTAGGTTTCGAATTTTTCTTTATAAATTGAAACATTAATAACAAAGAATATATTTTAGCTCTTAATATTCATTTCCGTAAATAAGAATAAAATTTGAAGAATAATTTGATGAACTAGTTTAATATGCTGTTTTTATATTCTTTGATGAACTAGTTTATAAGCTGCTGAGAATTATTATGCAAGGAAGTATCCAAGGAAGAAGAAGCATAGGAAGAACACGCATCTCCTGGTTGAGGAACCTTAGAGAATGGTTTAACTGTAGTTCACTACAACTTTTCAGAGCAGCAGCCAACAAAGTGACCATAGCCGTTATGATATCCAACCTCCGATAAGAGATGGAACTTGAAGAAGAAGAAGAAGTTTAATATGCCCGATAGTAATATCAAAACTCATACGCTAACATATCACCAAAAATCAAAAGGAAAACTAATAACATTAATAACACGTTGATGAATCACAGAAGATCAAAAAAGTAATTGATGTTTATATAAAAGTTATTTATTTGTCTGCTGTGCTTATAGACCTTCAAGCTCGATTGATTTTAGAACAAAAAGTGGTATTGTCACAGATAGTTGAATGTGTAATACTTCGACTGTTTTATTAATATCGTATATCTTTTAAAATTATCCATTAATATAATAGAAAACTGACCATGTATTTCTTAAAAACAAAGCAAAAGTCCAAAAGAATAAGAAGATATCATTTGAGACTATATCGCTTTGACAGCAAGAGCCAAATATAGAAGTAAAAATATAAAAATTATGGTTAATAACACTTATCACATTGCAAACACCAACAATAATAAAAATCTAAATGGGTAATTAAACAAAATAAAGGTCCTGTGCCATCACAACATAAACTCAGTTATAACATATGCTAAATTAAGATCAAAAAGTTTTGATGCTATCTTTGTTGACTTCCAAAAAGCCATTTGACTTAATCGATAGAGCAACAATACAGATTACCCCTTTTAGAAAAACTATAAACTTGATCTATACCCTCTTGAAAAATATTACATCGAAGGTACAATTCAGAGGTGAAGTATCAGATCCATTCGAAATTCGCACAGAAGTCAGACAGGGTGACTTTATTTCTCCTGTACTGTTTTAGAAATAACTGATTCTTAGAAAAAATTATTAGGGAGTGGTCAACAACAATATCGTCAATTTATGGAACAGAAATTGGACACAGAAGAAAGGGTTTGAAGGTAAATTGATGAACGATTTTTGTCGATGATCTGGTTCTTTTAGCTAATAATATCAATAAAGCTAAAGTTCTAGAGCATTGCTAAAGCACGAGAAAGATTATCAAAGGACTTTGCACGTGCGTCATATTAAGAATGCGAATAGAAGACTATTAAGATGTTGAAATAAAGCGAAGACGGAGAATAATATATATTATATATATATTAATATATATATATATATATATATATATATAATATATATATATATATCTATATATATATATATATATATATATATATATATATATATATATATATATATCAAAGTATAACGTTCTACGCCGTCTTCAGATTTTCTATTCTTTAAGGTTTGGCATACTCGTGCTACTTCTTTGTCGTCAATACTAATTGGGGAAGCTATTTCTTTCTGCTCCAGTAGCTGCCCTTTCTTCCGCCAGTAGCTTTGCGAAGTATTCGTCCCATTTATCTAAGCTGATCGGTGTGATAATGTCTTTAGTCCTATTTTGTCGAAGAGATCGAAGTATTTTTCAGCTTTCGGTGCTTCTGCTTCCCCCAAGGAAGTGTTTATTCTGGAGCAACTTCTTTCCCAGCTTTCGTTTTTCTTCTTAATTATCGCATCTCGTACGTTTCTTTGGGCTGTTCGATATTCGGCTTTACTTTGATCCGTTTTTATATTTAAGTGTTTGTGGTATTTATCTCGTTTAATCCTTATTTTTTCTTCTATTTCTTTATCCCACCAATATGGCTTCCTTCGTTCGGTTTTTTCATATTTACCCAAGGCTTCTTCTGCTGCACTTTTGAGACATTCTTTGAGACAAAGTTTTTTTGTAAGAGCTTTTCATTGAGTCGCTTGTTGTACAGTGCCTTTGTGCTTTCATGGTTGAGACTATTCAAGTTGTATTTGATTTCTATTGTTTTTTGCTCTTGTTCCTCATTGTGTTCTTTTTTCCTATCTAGTCTTATGGGCATTATTTTAGCCTTTACTAGGTAGTAGTCGCTTCCACATGTGCTTCCTCTAAATGCTCTTACGTCTTGTATATTGAGTTGCGTATTTTGTCGTGCAATCACATAGTCTATAATGGATAGATGGATTATCATTATAGACACAAAATCTAAACTGGCTTAATTATTTAGAAATAATGTTAGATTATTTCGCTGTAAAAATAATACAAAAATATTTCTAGTGTCAATAAAATAAGAACTTAATCTGGCAGTGATAAAACTGAATTAATAGATTGCTAAAATTTTGTTTTAAAAATTTTTGGATTTGAAGAAAATTAAAACAATACGCGAACAGAAAGTCTAGGTATAGGGTTCTTTGTGAAAACATCATTAAAACAAGAAGAGTATTGAGACAAGTTGGAGTTCCCTGTTGTTTAATCGCTGTCTTTAGAATCTTTAATCAATCTTCTTAAGTGGTGGCTGGTGATAAAAGAAGTTTCTAATGAGGTTGGAGAGAAGACAAGCAAAACAGAATGCCCGCTTAAAAAAAATTAAGAGAATAATAAATAATTTATATGACTTAAACATCTATTTACCAGTACCACAGTTTTGAAATGGTTTAAAATAGTTTAAATATCTGTTTTCAGATAAATGACAAAAATAGAATAAAGTTGTGGACAGCAATTGAAAATAAATGATTGAAGGGATGATTCATAAAATCTACAAAGACTTTACAGAAAATTGAAAAAAACTTTTATATAAATGAAAAAAACAGAATAAAAGTTTGGATGGCAGGTGAAAATAGATGATTAAAAATAGTCGATTCATTGAAACTACAAAGACTCTATAAGACAGGTTCCACCATGAAGTCTTTTTAAAAACTAAGTCACCTTGTTTGCTTACAAATGGAGAAGTAGGGTGAAAATAGCAAAGTTGAAATATAAAATCATTACATTATAAATAACAAAAGAAACTAGGAACTACTGACATAATACTATATGCTGTAAATATAAACAAACAAATAAAATATATGGTATTTTGGTAACAACTAAAATTTCACTCACTTTCACAAACATTTTTCGTTTTTCTTTGGAATTTTTGTCTAAAACCAATAACGAGCAAATCGATACTGCTTATTGGTATTACTTCCTAGTATTTATATTGGTCACCCTAGACCTTCAAACTCTACTGATTTTTACTGAAAAAACTTCATTGTCACAGATCAGAGAATTTCGCAAATTTTACAAGTAATATTTAAATTATAATATTGACCTAATAAGTACGTGCACAACGTTGGTTAGTGTGGTTTTGGTTTTTTGTGGACAATTTATTGGACAGGTGATTTTAGTTTAATTGTTTGCGGCTAAATAATATGTAGTTACACAGGACAGTGACAAATTTAAATAAACGACAACTAATGCTACAAAAGAAAAACTATTCTATATTTTATCTCAGAATTTCTTAGATTTTGACCTATTCTAAACTTTTTGAGCTTATTGCATATTGAAGGCTATGAGTGCAATAACGGACTAACCCCAATATTAGTGAGAGTTAGAAAATGGGTTTGAAAAAAAAAGTGAAAATTAGGAGATCAACTATAACATTTTTTAAGAAGATTTTTTGGTTTGAATGAATGGTAGTATATATATTACTTGTTTAATAAATTTGATAACAAATTTTGGATAAATACCTATATTCGATTTTTTAATGTGGGTTGGTCCACTTTGCATTTAAAATATTTTTAGTTAGTGAATGGGTTATCCCAGAAAATAATACACTCAATATTACATCAAAGACTGTATTACCGCAGAATGTGTAAAAAACATCAGAAGTTAGAATGTCTAATCTTCTTCGTCGTCAAATGGGCCAATTACTTCACCTCCAGCTGCTTGCGCTGAAGATCTCAGGTTTTTATACAATTTATGGTGTATAGGGAGTATCAATTCCATTAACTAAAGAAGATCTTTTTTTTAGCTTCGCTAATGGTATTACCATTTGGATACAGAAGTGGCAATTCCATTGTATTCTTGGAAACAGATTTCCTTTTATTAAGATCCACTGTTTCAAAATACACATCTTCATTGTTCGAATACTTATATTGGATAGTATTGGGAAAGTCTTTCCTAAACCTTAACCATTGAATTTTAAGCCACTCTACCTTGGTGTTTGATTCGGAAACTTTCCTGTTGGTTGTATTATTTTCAAGCAATTTCGTAGAAAAAAAATTGTTGTGTCCATGTTTATTACTGTGAACGGATTTTTCTTTCTAGCGTGCTTTATCACTGTATGCCAGTCTTGAAGTATACATATACATGCGGGTGGAATTTCTTTTCTTTTTCTATTATACCAAAATCTTGGTCAGACGGTAAGTAAAAATAACCACTTAGCAAAAACTTGTGGTCTATTTCTTCCACGGTAAAATCTGGAGATGCAGGTATATAATTGCATAGTAATGACATTTTAGTATTACGATTCTGACCGCCACATTGGTCAGAATACATAATAAGTCGTTTTGATTTTACGAAATTTTTTATGTAAAATAAGATGCAGGATCCTACTTCTTGAGGACCCCTAGAGGCGACTGTTTCATCCCACACAAACATAAATGAGTTGTTGGTTCCCATTTCATGAACATTGAAGCAGTAGGTCCATAATTGCCGCTTGTAGTAACAAATTCCTGCGGTAAGCACAGGTGTAGGTAAAGTCTCTCATTAGATAGAAACAGATGACTGATGCATTTCCATTTTTTGCCATTTCGGTGTCTCTTTTTAAAGAATCTCCAGCAGTCTTCGCCTTCTTTTGATAAAGTTCTTTTTCAGTTTTGAGTTGTTTACTTGATTCACTAGTGGCTGCCTTTATTTTAAGTTCAAATAAATCACACTTCTTACAAGAGTCAGTTATTGGTGTATGAAAGTGTAAATTATATTCCTTGTTGAACGTTTCTCGGAAAATAAAATAAGATAGGGGATTCTGTGTTTCACCTTTATATAACTCATACATTTTACCGAGACTCAAATCCGGAGAAAAGTATTTCCTAAGGTTGCTTTTTTCCCGCCCATAATAAGATTCGTACCATGGAAATTTTTCAATGAATTCCTTTAGTTCCATTTTCTTTGCGTCAGATGTTTTATTGTGCGGTGGATGTTTGTCACGTTTATCAGAAGGTGGTGGTGTTACTATGGATTTACGTTTGAGCAGTCTGTCTAATCTACCGGCAGAAACTTGAAATACCGCTTGAAAAAATGGTTTGCACACCTTATGCTCCATACCTTCCTGACTGGGTAAAAAGTAAAGTCTGGTTTTTTCCCTCTTAGATTCTGTGTTCAGAGTGTTCAGACTTTAATCAGAGTAAATAAATATGCAGTTTGCAAGTCGAAGTATTCTAAAGTATAGAAATTGTTATGCAGTTCCATTTGCCTTTACATTTACTGGAATCAAAAATGAACACCTTCCTTTACATTTACATTCAAATGGTTTAAAAGATTTGGAATATATAATTTTACCCGATTTAGTCTCATACTCTTGTCCAGCACACTTTTTTCTTTTGGTTATGTTTCTATTCCATTTTTTCGGATTGCGGACACGCTTTTTAGGCTTATTAGATGTCGTTGGTTCCGCTCTGTCGATATCTGCTTCTGTATCATTGCCTTTTTCCACGTCCCTATTAGTTTCCGCCAAATCTCCATCCGAAGGCAAGTACTCCGATCCAGAATCCACATATGGATCTGATTCCTAGGCTCAGCCGCCTGCAACAAAAACGCACAAATTAGAACCATAGAGAAATTTTTTAATCTAATTTTTAAGAATAACAACTAAATAGTATTATTTAAAAGCAAACTATCCCAGAAAACAAAAATAAATCATAACCTAGAGACAACGTTTTTTACTTTCGTACTTTTTTTATTTATCTTTACAAAATATACCTACCTCACCTCTACTTACAACAAATTTTTAAGAATAGCAACTAAATTTATTAAAAGCAAATTAAAATATAAAAAACTAAATTATTTGAAAGCAAAAACTATCTAAGAAAAATAAAAAAAATCATAACCTAGATACAATGTTCCTTCCTTTCATACTTTTTTATTTTTATTTATAAAATATACCTACTCACCTCTACTTGTAGCATCTTCATCGAAATCCATATCAATAGAATAAATATATTTTACAATAATTAAAAGTCACAATAATTCACAAGATCCAAAAATATCAATCAAGAATGATAGATAAACCTATAACTGTCAGCGGCACAGTGGACTAACCGTGCATGGTCCACTTTGCTTCTCAAAGATCCTATCAAATAGGGAATTCCAAAACTACTTTAGCGCAGCCATCTAGGAACCAATGGAACAATGTGGATTGGTCCACTATGCAGCTGATAGATTTCAACTAGACGGTTAATATTCTACAATAAAACAAATTTTGAATTTTTGTGGGTTGGTCCGTTATTGCACTCACAACCTCTGCACCATATAAATTCTAGTAGAAGCTTACTACATAAATTATACTATCGACTATTTACCTCCTGTGCCATGACCAGCAAGATCTTTACTAAAGGTATAGTTACAATTTTTAAGTCACCGATTTTATTAATGATACATAAAAGTTAAATTCTTCTGCAGGTATTACACAATAGATTAGATCAATTTATTGTTCGGCATATAACTTTTGAAGAAGCCAAATTCGAAAACACGAGAAGAGATTTTGAAACTATAGCTTATCAAAAAATTAAACATATTATAATTCTATTATCATATTAAATAATCAAACAAATAATTTTAAAACTATTTAACTCAATTCACCTATTCCTTAAAAGCTTCCTAAGTTAGCTAGAGCTCTTTAAAAAATGGCGCCTTGAAAGTAGTTTTATTTTAATACCTGGAAGCAGCAGCACTGTATGTTCTATTTCCTTAGCCAATGTATCACAAACATATGCTTTTTTATAGAAAATGCCTTTAAAACTTCTAAAAGCTTTTGTTTGGTGTAACATTCGAGTTTGGAGCCTTACCTAGTTGGCAACTATAGTTGCCATACTTAGGTGGCTGGATAGTTTGCATTGTCCATTACTATTACGCTATTTTGAGAAGTAATTGGGATAAAAGTATTTTTAAACTATGGTGTATTAAACTATAATGCTTCTAGGTTTTTATTGGAAGTGTCCAATCTTCAACCTTATACAAAAGGGTAGAGAAAATATAATATCGAAGCATTCTTATTCGGGGCAATATATTGATATCGCGATTACAAAAAAGTTTTCTCATTCTATTAAAAGTTGAACGTGCAATTTTAATGCGGCATATTATTTCTTTTGTCTGATCAGTATCTTTTGTGATTCATGCTCGAAGATATTTGTACGAAAATATTTGTTCAATTTCTGTATTATCTAGTACTAGCTTAACTTTGATGTTTTGTGCTCTTGTAAATAACATAAACTTGGTTTTCTTCAAATTTATTTTTAGTCCATAATCGTTGCAATATATATTTAGTTGCTCAGCAATTTAAAACCACTAGAAACCATAAGATTTCTTACGTTTGAAATCAAATCAGGAAAATGCCAAATCTGTGTTTTCTATAATTTGTAAAGCAAACAGAGGATAAATGAATTGACATGAGGAATCTATATATATATATATATATATATATATATATATATATATATATTTATATATATATATATATATATATATATATATATATATATATATATATATATTCATCCTGAAAGATCATTCACATGATATAGGATAAGTCAAATAAAATATATATATATATTATATATATATATATATATATATATATATATATATATATATTAACACATTATAAAAACATCACAATTTCAGAGTAACAGGATAAAAAATACATAGAATTAATTATTTACATCCCCATATATTCATTTACACTGTAAAAACAATTTTGCAATAGAAAAGATTTTAATTTACTTCGAAATGATTTAAATTCATTTCAAATTTAATACTGTTGAGAAGATGATTGAAAAGTCTTATACCCATATAATACTGGGATTTTTCAAACCGTGCTGTATTATGCTTTGGTACTCTGATGAGGTCATTTTGCCTAGTTGGGTACTGGTGATAATCAGAGTTTAAATGAAAAGTAGTTATATTGGCTTTTACATGTAGTATAGATTTAAAAATATATATAGAAGGTACTGTTAAAATGTTGTATTCTTTAAAATATTGTCGACATGAATGCCTATATGGTAAATCAAAAATTAACCGAATTATCCTTTTCTGAGAGACAAACACTCTTGCAGCATTCACAGTACTACCTCAAAGATTTATATTGAAGGCTAAGTGAGGATAAACAATTGCATAAATAAACATTCAATAACTGTTCCTTTTTAAGAAAGCTTTTTAATGGCAATACTGCGTAATAACTACTATTTATTCTTATACAAACATGATTAATTTGAGATTCCCAGCTCATGTTACTATCAAGATACAAACCTAAAAGTTTGGTGGAAGTTGTAGAATGAACCAGGCTATCATTCAATTTAAAAAAAAACTGGTAACTTGAATTTGATCTGTAGTAGAATTGCATGCTTGTGGTTTTTTAGCATTAACAATCAAAGCATTTTTTTACACCAGTCTGTAAAATCTTCTGATATAACATTCAGTTGAACAGTTAATTCCTCGGCACTTGAAGCAGATGTTATTTGAACTGACATATCTAGGCATATCATTAATGTAGCATAGAAATATTAATGGTCCCAATATTGAACCCTTCTTCTTAGAGTGCCGTCTCCTTACGGAGGTTGGCAATCATAATGGCTATTTTTATTTTAGAACTTGCTGCTATAAACAAATCAATCGATCTGCATTGGTACCAATCACGTAGATTCTTTAACCATGAGTTCTGCCTTCGGCCAACAGATCTTCTTCCTTGAATCTCTTCCTGTATTATCAGTCTCAAAATTTCATATTTTGGTCCCCTCATCACGTGGCCTAGGTATTCCAGTTTTCTGGTTTGTATAGTGGTGATTAGTTCTGTTTCTTTACCAACCCTCTCCAGTACTTCTTTATTTGTAATTCTATCAGTCCATGATATTTTCAATAATGTGCGGTATAACCAGAGTTCGAAGGCCTCGATTTTTTTTAAATTACATTTTTTTAATGTCCAAGTCTCAGCTCCATATAATAATATTGAACATATATAACAGCGAATGGTACGTAGTCTGATCTCCAAATTTAGATTTTTGCACGTTAGGAGTGGCTTCATTCGTATAAATGCTGATCTGGCAATCTCTATTCGTCTGTTTATTTCTACAGTATGATCATTGGTTTCATCGATCAAAGTTCCCAAATACTGAGATTTTTCTACTTGTTCTATCACGTTACCATTTATTGTCAATAGGTGATGTATATTTTGTGGCCTTTTTGTAAACAGCATGTACTTCGTTTTTTTAGCGTTTATAGTAATTCCCATCTCAGCACTATTTATACTCAAGCTTTCGATAAGATGTTGTAGATCCTCTATACTCGTTGCTATGATCACAGTGTCGTCTGCATATCTTAAATTATTAATTATTTTCCGTTAACGGTGACTCCCGCTTCGATATTATTGAGCGTGTTTTGGAAAATTTCTTCAGAATATAAGTTAAATAAAAGTGGTGATAACACACATCCCTGTCTAACTCCTCTACAGATCCTCATTTCTTCTGAGTGTTGCCCATCAATTTGAACTATGGCACTTTGGTTCCAATATAATGTTTGCACTATATTTATGATTTTACTGTCAATGCGCTTGTTCATAAGTATTGATATTAGTTTTTCGTGTCTTACTTTATCGAAAGCTTTTTCGTAGTCAACGAAGCACAAGTGTAGATCAACATTTACATCCCGACATCGCTGAATTAATATGTTGATGGCAAATAGTCCTTCTCGAGTACCCATTCCATTTCGCTCCAACCCTAACTGCGTCTCGCTAATATCCTCCTCTAGCCTTTCGTATATTCTCTTATGTATTATTTTTAGCAGAACTTTTAAAGTATTACTCATGAGGCTCAGTGTTCGATAATCAGAGCACTCTTTTGCTGCTTGTTTTTTAGGGATGGTTATAAATGCTGACTTTAGTCACTCCTGTGGTATTATTCCCGTATCGTACACCGTGTTGAATAAATTTGCCAATACTTCCAAGTTGTCCTCTTCCACTAGTTTTAACAGTTCTACTGGTATTTCATCTAATCCAGCTGCCTTATTGTCTTTAGAGTTTTTGATAGCATATTTGATTTCATCTGAAATTCATTG